AGCATTTTCATCACCCCAAAAGAAAACCTTGTACCCATTAAGTGGTTATTCTTCCAGTCTCCCTCATCCTGGTTCCTGACAGCCACCAATCTGCTTTCTGTCTCCATACATTGACTTTTTTCTGGGTAGTCATATAAATGTATTCATGCAATATGTGACCATTTGTCTGGCTTCTTTCATTTATATAATGTTTTCAAGTTTCACCCACGTCATAGCATTTGAGTAGTTCTCATTTGATACGCTACTTTGGAGGGACACAGAAAAAGTAAAACTTAACTGTATGTTTTAATCACAGCTTTAGGAAGAGGAGACCTAGGGTCCAGTTCATTTCCCCACATAGACCTCTTCTCCTAGATTCTTTATCTTCATTTGAAGTGGACATTGGTTGTTTTGCCTGTCCAGTTTCCAAGTCCCTGGTAATAGCTCATGAGTTATGTGGGTCACAGCTCCTCTCTCACTCAGCTTTTGGAATTCAGGTGATGCTGACCTGACTTCTTCACTTCTTCAATGGGTAGGTACTGACTTTAGATCTGTCCAATAAGGGCTTCCATCTGTTCGGCCACGTTCAAGAATGGAACATACACCAGTTGCAGAGGTTCCTCTTAGAACTACAGAAATGTGCTGCCTTCCTTTTGGACTTGAAGCTGAATGGTGTAAGCCTGCCAGGGGTCTCCATGTAGAGAGCCAAGCCAACAGCAAAGAAAACGGAGGGAAAAGAAGGCATGAGAGCATTGAATCCTGGGACATTATTTAGTCATTTTGTCCAGACATATTTAATTAGCAATATGTTTAAAGAGTTACAAGCCTTTCTTTCTTTTCTTGTGACAGTTTGAGTTGAATTTCTATCATTTGCAACCTGTCACTGTAAGGTACAAACACGACCGTACTCATCTAGGGCTGAGGCAATGTGAATAAGGAGGACATTGTCTCCTGGTGCCCAGGAAATGCCTTAGAGCTCTTCCCTGGAAGTGAGGACTCTGATACTCTATATTTTTCTGGTTTGTCTGGTTGTACTTTTTTTTTTTGCCTAGTTGGATAACAATCTTTAATGAACAATAGAGCGTCAAAAAATACATGAGGCAAAAACTGCAAGGAGAAATAGATGAATGCACTATTATAGGTTAGAGACACCAGTACCCCTCTCAGAAATGGATAGATCTAGCAGCAGGAACATCAGTAAGGACACAGTTGAAAGCAACACCACCATCAACCAACTGGTTATAATGGACACATTTAGACCATTTACACTTTAGGTGATTATGAATATGGCTGGGTTTAAATCTACTATCTTGTGTCTTGTTTTCTATTTATTTTACCTGTTCCTTGTTCCATTTTTCCTTTTTCTGCCTTCTTTTAGAATGCAATCTTAAAACTTAATAATAAAAAGTTTTAAGATTGCATTTTTATCCTCTTTGTTGGCTTAATAGCTGTAACTGTGTTACTTCAGTGATTCCTTTAGAGTGAATTTTTAGTGCACATCTAAACCAATCTACCTTCATATGATACTACATGACTTCAAATATGTAAGAACCACATGACTACATATTTCCATTTCTCCCCTCTCCACCTTTGGGCTATTATCATATATTTTACTTCTACATGTTGAAAACCACAATATGTTATTATTATTTTTGCTTTAAATAGTCAATTAGGTTTTAAATATATCTAAATAAAAGGATATATGAAATTCTTTATGCATATAATGATAACCTACTTAGTTATCATTTCTATGTTCATTTCTTTGCATAGAAGCAGGTTTTCATCTGTTACTATCCTTTTTCTGCTTGAAGAACGTCCTTTAACAACTCTTGTAAGGCAGGTTTGCTGATTAATTCTTTCAGATTGTACATCTGGAAAACTCTCCATTTTGCCTTCATTTTTGAAAGATATTTTCATTAGGCAAAGAATTCCAGGTTGGTAATGTCTCTCTTTCCATACTTTAAAGATGTGGTTCCCTGTCTCTTACCTTGCATTATTTCCAGCAAGAAAGCTGCTATCCTCTTTGCCTTTGTTCCTCTGTACCTAATCTGTCTTCTCTTTCTCTCTCTTCCTCACTTCTAGAATTTCCTCTTTATTGCTAGTTGTAATTTGATTGATACAGTTCATTGTATCTCTTGGGTCTCAGTAGTTGTCATCAATTCAGCTAGTATTTCTTCAAATTTTTTTTATACCTCCTTTCTCCAGGGACTCCAGTTACTATATATTTGACTCCCGAAGTTGTCCCATAGTTCTCTAATGCCTAATTTCTCCTACCATCTCTTCTTCAATCTTTTTCCTGTTTATTTTTAAGTTGCTGTCTTCAAATTCTTTCATATAGTCTTCTGAGATGCCCAATCTGCTGTTAACCCCATCCAGTGTTTTTCATCAGATATTGTAGTTTTCATCTCTAGAGGTGCAGTTGGTGTTTTGTATCTTCCATGCCTCTACTTAGTATGTTTTTCTCTCTAGCTTTTTGAACATATGGAATACAGTCATAATACTTGCTTTAATGTCCTTGTCTACTGATTGTCATTGTGCCATTCCTGGGTCAATTTTGATTAACTGATTTTTCCCTTCATTATGAGCTTTATTTTCATGCTTCTTTGCATACCTAGTGATTTATTAGATGCCAAGTATTGTATATTTTACTTTATTGGGTATACTTTTTGTATTTCTGTATTCTTAAGCGTTCTGGAACACAATTAAATTACTTGGAAATAGTTGTGTTCCAGTTTGGTCTTGTTTTTAAGCTTTGTGAGTTGGGACCGGGGTAGTTTTTATATAGAGTTAATTTTTCTATTAGTAGGGAATCTTAGTTCTCTTCCAATGCCACCTAGATTACAGGGTTTTCCACTGTGACTATTGAAAGCAGGCACTATTTTCAGCTCCAAACACTGTTCCCTCTAATTCTTGTGGGTGAGTTTCTTCACAGACAGGCACTGTTAGTGTGGAACTGCATATTTGATGAAAACTCTCTGCAGATCTTAGTTCTCCTGCTTGCAGCTCTCTCCTCAAAGGCATTCTCCCTTGTGAACTCTAGCCACCTCGACTGCCCAACTGCACCTCAACTCCAGGAGATCACCAGGTCCTGATGGGGTAACACTTCCTGGAGCCATAGACTTTCTCCAGATAGTAAGTACAGATAATTTTGCTTTTCCTCTCCAAAGGACCATTGTCCTTTGTTGCTTAAAGTTCATTGTCTTGATATTTGTTAGATATTTAAGGAAAGAAGGTAAACTAACAAGACAGGTAACTTTCAGGAAATAACTATCTTACCCTAGCAAAATACCACAGGGAGTTTAAAAAAAAAAAAAAAAAAAAGGAGCCCCACTCTCACCAGATAATGGCACAGGCTGAGAACGTTCTTCATCATCCAGCCTAACATGGCCTTCTCCCTATCCCGTGGTGTCATTAGGGTGCTCTGCCTACTTCCAGCAGAAAGGCATCAGTGGAGGTCTCGGGTAGAGCCACATTAGGGATCCTGGATCTCCATCCTCACTAGGCAATAATGAGGCAGTGCCCCACACCAGCACCGTCAAAGGAAGCATGCTGAGAGATTTAAATAACTCCCAGAGTTTCATAACATAACAGTGAAGATGTCCAGGATACAACCAAAGTCACTCATCATAACAAGAACCAGGCAATTGTAAACTTGAATGAGAAAAAACATCAAGGGATGTCAACACTAAGATGACACAGATACTGAAACTTTATAACAAGAATTTTTTTTTTTTTTTTTAGAGACAAGGTCTTACTCTGCCGCCCAGGCTGGAGTGGTGTGAACAAGGCTTACTGTAGCCTCAACCTCCTGTGATCAAATGATCCTCCCACTTCAGCCACCTATGTAGCTGGGACTACAGGTGCACACCACCATACCTGGCTAACTTTTAAATTTATTTTTATTTTTTGTAGAGATGAGGTCTCACTTTGTTGCCCAGGCTGGTCTCAAACTTCTGGGCTGAAGCAATCCTCCTGCCTCAGTCATGCAAAATGCTGGGATTACAGGCATGAGCCACCACACCCAACTGATGACAAGGATTTTAAAGCAGCCACCATAAAAATGCTTCAGTGAGTAATTGTGAACACTCTTGAAGCCATTAAAAAAAAAGTCTCAGCAAATAGGAAACCTCAGCAAAGAAACAGGAGACATAAAAAAGAAATCAAATGGAAATTTTAACTGAAATATACGATGATAGCCAAAGTTAAAGTACTGCATGGATGGTTCAAGAGCAGAATGGAAACAAAAGAGAAAATAACCGGTTATCCTGAAGATAAAACAACAGAAATTACCTAAACTGAGCAACAGAGAGAAAACAGACTGAAAAAAAAATAAACAGAGCCTCAGAGACTCACGGTATGATAATAAAAGATTTAACATTTGTCATCAGTGTCCCAGAAAGAGGACGTGGGTTGGGCAGAAAAAGTATGCAAAGAAATTTAAAAAGCATATATATTCCACAGAATGAGTTAAAACTTTTGTAAAGCACGTATCTGATAGGGGGCTTATACCTAGAAACTATAAGGAACTCAATAATGACCAAAAAAAACACAAACTTTTTAAATGGGCAAAAGCTCTGAATAGACATTTCTACAAAAAACATATATAAATAGCCAATAAGCATATGAAAAGATGTTCAACATCATCATCCATCAGGGAAATACAAGTCAAAATTACAATGGTGTAAAATTAGTCACCATTTAACATTCCCAATAGTAGCCTACAAGCTTCTGTTTCCACTGTGGAAAACAGTTTGGCAGTTGCTCAAGGTAGTCAAGTTACTTAACTGCTCTGTAAAATGAAGTTAATCACATTCACTTTGGACAAATGAGTTAATATATATTAGCTATAATAATTATAGCAATTATTATTGTGCATATTATTACTGATTGGGTCAGACCATTAGCCCTGTCTCCCTAATTCATTTGCTTTTGCTATTTTGGATGAATATTTAAAGTAGTCTTGAACTGACTACTTATGTAAAGGTCCTATCACATTGGCATATACCATGTGCTCAGTAAACGAAAGCTGTAATTATTCATTTCTAAACAGTTTAAAGATTAAACTTTCCTAAAAACAAAACAAAAAAACCAAGGCAACACCCCAAGCTGTGAGGGGCTGAGTCTTTCCTAGGTGCGGGGCAGCACAGGCACTGGCTGCACAAGGCCAGGGAGGTTACGTGGCAGCTCTCTTTAACCCAGGCCGCACAGAGCGCTTCTCTCCCTGCGCAGTCTTCATGTCTTCCCAGTCCAGTTTGATGTCTGGAACCTTATCATTTGTCTCTGGATCCTTACTCAAGGCCCCCTGGGAGAAGGCAACCAGGATGGGCAGAGGGCCACATTCCTGGATTTCCACAACATGGAGGCCCTTCTTAACAGCCAGCTGTTGATGGGTTTTCTGTCTGGAGAGCCCACGGAAGAGGCCCCAGGTAAGGCTGAGCCTACTGACAGACCCAGAGACCTTGGCATACATGTCGTTGATGCCAGTGAGCCTGCAGATGGTAATGATGGCCCTGTGGCAGCAGAGGCCATAACCTTTGGGTTGTTTCTTCATCTTGATACGTGTCCTTTTACATCTTAATGAAATATCATGGAATATTGTAGGGTCTTCATATTGTTCTATATAATGCAGATAGTGAACTGCTCTGTTCTTTGCTTTCCTAAAAGCGTCCACCCGTTCAATGGTTTTCCCAACGGCAAAACCTGCAGCTCCTTTTCTGTTCCCCACAGCCACCAGGACATGGACCGATTTCTTTCTTCCCTCTTTCCGCTGTCATATTGAAAACATTTCTTACCTCAAGTATCCTGGTATCAAAATCCTCATATGTTTCTCCACTGGGACCAGGGTCAGGCAGGCCAAGACTGACGCCTCTCCATGAGTTTCCACTCCATCCTGGCTCCCATTTAACCTTCATCTTCCTCTTTAGGCCCCACTCTTCTCTCTGCTGGATCATGTCCGCCTCCACCTTCTCCCGCTCTTCCTTGCGTCTTTGGGCAGTGGTTTGCACTGCTCCATTTTTCATAAGAGGGACATTCAGATCAGGCCACAGAAAACAGTAACGCCCTTCACCAATGATCAGACCCCGGTTCAGATCCTTTCCTTTCTTCTTTTTAGTTCTTTTGCCTCTTCCTTTTCTTGCTCCAGTACCAGTCCCTGCCAAAGTACCTTTCCACAGCTCAACTGCAGTCAATTTAGTGAAGAAACTGTACGCTGTATACAATGCACATCTGCAGCATTGTGTCTGCAGCGCATGGCTCAAGCTGGCCTAAGGAGGGGTGTCTCTGGTTCCCATTGATGACAAAGGGCCATTGCTGAGAGAGGTCTTCCATGCCAAAATGGAAGCTGTTGGTAAGGTGTTTAGGGAAAGCTACCTCCCCAGTAAATGACCCGCTGTCCCGCTGCACAGCACAGGAAGGCAGCCCACAGTGCGCACCGCCGTCACCATGCTGGAGCCCGAGCAGCGCTTCCGTTGTGCTTTAAACCTATTATTCTGTTAGAGTAGTTGTGGCAAAGTAAAATAACATTTGGACTTTTGATATTTACCTACTTATTTATATCTTTAATCTTAAATATTTTTAGTATAAATGTATACGAAAGGAGAAACAACTCTAAACTTCTTTCTCTTTGGTTTTGTGACCTTAGATCCTTGATGGGAATACTCTTTTTAGTTCAATAGATTGAAGGATAGAATTTCATTCGTTAGCATAGAAAACAATGTGGGTCATTTTACTAATAAAAAACCTTGAGGAATAATATTTTATGTCCTCAAGGTCTTTCTGGCTCACATTGTCATAAGAGTTACAAAAACAAAAAAAACTTTAAAAAATTACAGTTTTTCGGGGTCTGTCTTTTTAGATTCTAATGTTTCACACTAATTCAGATGGAGACTTTTGCTATTCCCTAAAGACATTCTCCTCTCTAACAACAAGACTCAAAGTTTTAAGATGAACTCTCAACTACAATTTAGTGAAAAGTAACCAGAAAAGAAGTTTCTGACATTTTGGACTGGATGAAAGAAAAATCCCCCCATTTTCTCTTTTGCTTTAAATGAAAATAATATAAATTATAGAAAAGTAGTCTCAAGGATATAGTATTTTAGCTAAGGATTTCTTTTATTAACATAGGGATTCACTTTGCCTTTGAGTCTTTTGCAAACAGCATTGGAAGTGAAATAGCTTTATAAAAAGTTACCTTAGCCTACAGAGGTTAATGAACTAATTCTGTAAAAAATTTAGATTTTGTATATTTTTAAAACCCTAAATAATCTAGTCAGATGTTGTGATGGGTTGAACTGTGCCCTCCCAAAAGATATGTTGAAGACCTAACCCATAACACCTCAGAATGTGAACGTATTTGGCAATAAGGCTGTTGCAAATATAATTAGGATGAGGTCATACTGGAGTAGGGCAGGCCCTTAATCCAATATGACTGGTGTCTTTATGAGAAGACAGCCATATGAAGACACGGAGACACACATTGAGAATGCAATGTGATAATGAAGGCAGAGGATGGAATTATGCTGCTACAAGCCAAGAACATCAAAGATTGCCAGAAAACACCAGATGCTGTGAAGGACTTCCCTGCAGCTTTCAGAAGGAGCTTGGACCTGCTGACATCTTTATTTCAGACTTTTGATGTCGAGAACTGTGAGGTGATACCTTTCTGTTGTTCTAAGCCACCCAGTTTGTAGTATTTTGTTATCAAAGTCCTAGGAAACTAATACAGCTTCTAATAATAATTATCATTTTTTTATAATCTTAGAAAAAGAAAATATACCATAAATGAGATCCTACTTATGTAAATATCAGGAGACCTCAGAAAGTCACTTGGCAATGCTGTGACCCATGATCTTTTAAAAAAAATCTGACAATTTTGTGTTATAATGTAGAAGACTATGGTTTGGATAGAGCTCCAAGTATCCTTAACACATGATGGGAAGCATGTGGTATCCTGCACAACTGCTGTATTCTTGCCCTGGACCCAGTTGCTTCTTGAGCCCAGAGGTCCTCAAACTCATGTATAGAAACCCCATCTCAGTGGGATCTCTGCATTTCCTATCTACCTTCCTTTTCTTCCTATTTTCCCTTGCCTCATTAAAACAACAACAACAATAAAAATAACAACAACAAAACCCAACCAGGATGTAGATGGGTCACAAATGATATAACTGATTTGTTGTCTTATTTCATCTATTTTATCCACCCCCCCAGCTTTATTGAGGTAAAATAAAAAATAAAATTTATCTACATATATTACAAGATGTGAATGTGATAACTTGAGATACATACACATTGTGAAATGATTACTATAATGGAGTTAATTAACACATCCATCACCCTAACAGTTATGACTGTGTGTGTGTATTTGTGGTAAGAATACTTGGAATCTCTTAGCAAATTTCCAGTAAACAACATAGTATTACTAACTGTAGTCACCAGACTGTATGTGAGATCCCCAGAACTTACTCAGCTTATAGCTGAAAGATTGTACCCTTTGACAAACATCTCCCTGGGCAACTACCATTCTACTCTCTGTTTCTATGAGTTTAACTAGTTTAGATTCCACATTGTATTAGGCTGATCTCGCACTGCTATAAAGAAATACCTGAGACTAGGTAATTTATAAAGAAAAGTGGTTTAATTGGCTCATGGTTCTGCAGGCTGTACAGGAAGCGTAGCAGCTTCTGCTTTCGGGGAAGCCTCAGGAAACTTTTACTCATGCAGAAGGCAAAGCAGGTGCAGACACAGGACAGAGAGTGGGGAGGTGCTACACACTTTTAAACAACCAGATCTCACAAGAACTCACTATTAGAACAGCACCAAGGGATGGTGCTAAACTATTCTTGAAGGATCTACGCCCAAGATCCAGTCACCTCCCACCAGGCTCCACCGCCAACATTGGGGATTACAGTTCAGCATAAGATTTGGGCAGGGACAGAGATCCAAACCTTATCAAACATATAAGTGAGTCTATGCTGTATATATCTTTCTGCATCTGGTTTATTTTGCTTAGCATAATGTCCTCTAGGTTCATTTATGTTGTCACAAATGGTAGAATTTTCTTTTTCATGGCTGAATATTCTATTCTATTGGACCACATTTTCTTTTTCTTTTTCTTTTTTTTTTTTTTGAGATGGAGTCTTGCTCTGTCACCCAGGCTGGAGGGCAGTGGTGCGATCTTGGCTCACTGCACACTCTGCCTCCTGGGTTCACGCCATTCTCCTGCCTCAGCCTCCCATGTAGTTGGGACTACAGGTGCCTGCCACCATGCCTGGCTAATTTTTTGTATTTTTAGTAGAGACAGGGTTTAATCGTGTTAGCCAGGATGGTCTCGATCTCCTGACCTCGTGATCCACCTGCGTCAGCCTCGTGAAGTGCTGGGATTACAGGCGTGAGTCACTGCACCCGGGCTGCACCACATCTTCTTTATTCACTTGTTGATAGACATTCAGATTGTTTCCATGTCTTGGCTATTGTGAATGATGCTGCAGCGAACGTGGAAGTGCACATATCTCTTCAAGATCATGATTTCATTTCTTTTGGATACAATGACCAGAAGTTGGATTGCTGGATCTATATGGTAGTCTTATTTTTAATTTTTGGAGGAAATTCCATAAATTAGAGTTTTGGAGGAGACTCCATGCTGTTTTCCATAATGGTGGTACCAATTTATATTGCCACCAACGGTGTACAAGGGTTCCCTTTTATCTACATTCTTGCCAACACTTGTTATTTTCGTCTGTTTGATAATAGCCATTCTAACTGGAGTGAGATTATATCTCATTATGGTTTTGATCTGCATTTCCTGAGTGATTAGTGATGTTGAGGATTTTAAAAAATATACCTGTTGTTCATTTGTATATCTTCTTTTGAAAAGTATCTGTTTAGGTCCTTTGACCATTTTTAAACTGAGTATTTAAGTTTTTTTTGCTATCAAGCTTTATGAATTCCTTAAATATTTTGGATATTAACCCCATATCAGCTGTATGGTTTGCAAGTATTTTCTCCCAACAACAGATTGGTTTTTAATGTGATAAATCCATAGTTTTGCCCAACCTTTGAAATAATTAAAACATGCAGGAATCCAGACTGGCAGCCACTTGGAGAATGTGCCTCCAACTCTTTCTGGGCAGCACCTTAGGAATTGCTGTGATAATTACCTAGTCGTGGTTCTTAATTCTGGTTGCACATTAAAAATCACCTGGGAAGCTTTGAAAGTCTTCTCACTCTAGACCAATTAAATACAAAATTCTAGGGACAGGGCCTAGGCACCAGTGATTTTTTTTTTTTTTTTTTTTTTAAAGATCTTCAGGTGATTCTAACATACAGCCAGGGTTGAGAACCAGTGGCTTACTGTCATGTTGGGTTACTGTTGGAGCCCGAATGCCCTAATAACGACAAGCAGAGGTGAGCACCCGCTCTGCTCCTCACAGCCCTCTGCTTTTTGTCTGATTGCAGTTATGTAAAGTCCAAATGGAACTAAGACTAAGCCTGGTAATTGTCATGGCAATGCCCTAGATTTTCCTATCAAATCCAATCTTATTTAGGGTGGGAGACACAGAAGTGACTCTTGTGAAATTAAAGTACTTCTGCCCCTATTTAGAATATTCAGCATTAAATTTGACAGAGTTTTGCCATGAAATTTCGAATACCAAAACTTTTAAAAACAGCAGATCTCACCTGATTCGCACAAGTTTATCATTAATTGTAAAGTGTGCTTGATCACACAGAATTATCTAGGCAATCAGCATCATGCATAGCCTTTAATGCCTCTGTCTGCTGAGCATGGGTTCTGCATATTGATCACAAATTTGAAAATTTCTCTGCTTATGCCTCATCACTCCTGTCTTTGATTGAGTATAACATAAATGGAATTTGAAAATCGTGGAGCTGTGGGGGACCTGTGGAAATCATTTTGTCTAGTTCTTTGCCCTTACAATTGTATGTCTAATCTACTAATACAGTCAGGCTACCAAGGTCCCTTGTTAAATTCATGAATGCCCTAGCATGGACAACTGCAACATCCTTCTAACTGGTTTCGTCCTCCTATCCCCCCTTTCTCCATGTTACAATCAGAGTAATCTTTCTAAATACGAATCTAATCAGGTCACTCTCTTCTTTGCTTAATATTCTTTGATGACTCCCCATTTACCTCAGGTCCAAATTTAAGCTCCTTAGCCTCACCTACGATCTGTGAACTGATCTAACTTTGTCTCCCTCTGTGGCTTCATCTCCTAGAGCTCTCCTTTCTCACTCTAAATTGCAGTTATAACGGAATTCTAAACGTGCTCAATGTAGTTCTCCAAATGTGTCCTCTATGCCACCATACATTTGCACATGCTGTTCTTTCCCTCTAGGATGTTTTAGAATCTAGAAGATTGGGTGCACGGTACTTATGTCCTGAAAAAGAAGCCTTAGTATTTTGTTTTTTGAATAAGAGTTTCAC